GTGTCGAGCCATGGCAGACAAGAACAACAACAAAACAACACTTTTAAGCTCCCCCTAGTTATTATTCTAGTTTAATTTGACTTTACTGATGTGGTTGCTACAGTTTAGCTTCGTCAGTGTTAAATTTACAGATATAACAATAATATGCACTTGATTTGTACAGTGTATGTATAATAAGTTTATATTTTTGTTTCATTAATACTAGGGCTGCACTATATATCAAAAAAATATCGATATTGCAATATTGGTGCCTGCATCATCCATAACAAAAATATGCGCGATTAAAAAATAAAAATAAAATCCCTTTATTGAAGACAACAAAACAGACAGACACATCAACATTCAACAAGAACAAACAAAAAGTATATAATTATATGCATTTAAATGTCATTCATGTTTTTATTTTAATGCAGATTTCAATTTTAGGTGAAAGAAAAAAATAAAGGCAAAGCTCTCGATTTACCGGTCAATCTTCGTTCCCTCCCTCACCTATGGTCATGAGGGAGCAGCGTCTGCAGTCAGAGCTCCTCTCCCTCACCTATGGTCATGAGCTTTGGGTAATGACCGAAAGAACGAGATCGCGGATACAAGCGGTCGAAATGAGCTTCCTCCGCAGAGTGGCTGCTCCCTTAGAGATAGGGTGAGGAGCTCGGAGTAGAGCCGCTGCTCCCTTAGAGATAGGGTGAGGAGCTCAGTCACACGGTAGGAGCTCGGAGTAGAGCCGCTGCTACTCCACGTTGAGAGGAACCAGTTGAGGTGGCTCGGGCATCTGTTCCGGATGCCTCCTGGACGCCTCCCTGGGTAGGTGTTCCGGGCACATCCCACCGGCAGGAGGCCCCGGGGAAGACCCAGGACACGCTGGAGAGACTATGTCTCTCAGCTGGCCTGGGAACGCCTTGGGGTCCCCCCGGACGAGCTGGAGGAAGTGTGTGAGAGGGAAGTCTGGGCGTCTCTGCTTAGACTGCTGCCCCCGCGACCCGGCAACGGATAAAGCGGAAGAAAAGGGATGGATGGATGGATGGAAAAACATATCTCTATAATATCGTTATCGCGATACTAAATATCGCACTAATTCCCAACGTCGTGCAGCCCTAGTTAACACCTTATATGCCTTTAAGTGTCACAGCCTTTACTAATCATAACGTCATAATCATCATAAATACATATATTATTAACATTTATCATTTTCATTATCACGTATATTGTATTTAATAATTACTAGTGTTTATATGTGAGTAAAATGATTAATAAAAATATGAAAGTACAGATGAGAAAAGTAATTGTGGACACATGTGATCACACCAAGGTCTCTTCTACTGACATTACTAAACTAACAAGTCCAAGAATAAGGTTTTTAAATGTGACTGAAACCGTAATCTGTACATCTTGGTCTGAAAACCTGTCTTTCCTGTTCGTGTTTGTAACTCGTTAATCTCTTGGTCGTTGGTTGTTATCGCACATGTTTTTGTCGCCTAATCCAATATCAAGCTGGAGATAAGGTGCATGTTGTTATGGAAGGCCCAAGAGGAGATGAGATGACAGGATTTCAATTACTCCGGGTACATCAGAGACGGCGAGACGTATCAGGGACAATAACTCATTAATAAAAACACATTAATTGTCAGTTTATCAGATTGTGACCTTTTTAAAAGTCTTCTCGGAGCCATTGACCTTCAAATCAATTAGTCATATTCTGTAATTGATATGTAATGCACTGGTCCAGAATACATAACAGTGTCAAGTCTACTCTGTGTGCTTGTATCTTTGTCGTAGCCTGGTCTTACCACACCATGGTACTCATTTCATTTCATACTAAGGTCTGGATTTGCTCCATTGACTCCGTGAACAGGTGGGAGGGGCTAACTCCTTTTGCAGATTGAAACCATTGGATCTGAGTTTACTGTGACGTATGTAATGAGCCCGAGTGAGTGAGGCATTTAGCCTAGCTTTAGCATGTAGCCTAGCATTAGCATTAGCCTAGCTTTAGCCATCTCCTTTGTCACTAACGGAGCCCGTGGGGAGTAGAGCCACAACATCTTTGCTTCAGTGACATTTACTAAACATTCCTCTTGCTCCGGCTTCAGTTTCTTGATATTTGGATTGAACCAGAACAGATTATTTTACTATCACATTCTCCATGGTCCAGAGTTTACACATGGTAAGACCAGACGTACATGTAGGAGATGATCATGGACCAGAGTTTACACATGGTAAGACCCAGATGTATGGCTAATGCTAGGCTAATCTTGTTTTTGTCGTATGCCGAGGGTTAGAGGAGTTTCTTGAACATTGGGTGTTATAGTTTCCTTATGTTTTGGCTCGAGTGTTTTTCTGGCCTGAGAAACCGACAAATTTCTGGCTTCAGGAACCTCCTTCTTTTGGCTTTCAACTATAATGAATGAGCTTCCAATGCTGCTAAAGCTAACCAACCAGGAGAAGGAAAACATTCTTGTCAGGCACAGACAGCGACAGACAAGCCGTGCCAACAGCGTCAAAAGTTTGACACAGACATCTTTGTCGCAAACAAAGACCATAGACCATAGTGTTTGCTGAATGTGGAAGAAGCCAATTTGAACATAAGCTAATTAAAGCAAAGTTTCTCATATGAACATTTGGACACCATCCAGTTTCAAAGCCAAAAATGGCGGACACAAACGGTTACTGAGCGAGAGGAGTTTACTTTTCAATGTAGTAGTAAGTAGTAGTAATCTTTATTTATATACCGCCTTTTCACTGCACATCGGAGTCTCAAAGCGGTTTACAATTGTTATTTTTTAGAGTGGGGGTGCCAGTACAGGAGGCACATGTCAGACCCATTGTACATATTTTTAGTGGTAGGGGAAACCGGAGCACCCGGAGGAAACCTACGCAGACACGGAGAGAACATGCAAACTCCACTCAGAAAGGCCCTGGTCCAACCGGGATTCGAACCCAGGACCTTCTTGCTGAGAGGCGAGAGTGCTATCCACTCAGCCACCGTGCCGCCAATGTAATTCTATAAGAGCCAGAGTTGGAGCAAAACTTTGTCCATGAGCACTTCCATATTGTGCTTCATTATTAGGGGGTTAGCATTGTCATTATATATACAGCCTGTGGTTCAATTCAATTCAATTTTCTGTGCTGTTTCTTCATATTATTTATTTTTAGACTATATTAAGGACTCACATGCAAGCACAGGATCCATAGCTACGAATAATGAAAGGAAACTAAACTATTGCGAGCTTTTTAGAATGATCAATGTATTGGTTTTGTTTGGATGGATGAGTTTTTGCTGCTAATGGACACCTGCATTTCTCCCACGGGGATCAATACAGTATCTATCTATCTGTTTATTTTTTAGTTTTTTAGCCCTAAATCACAACAGCAGCTATCTCGTAGGACTCTAAGTTTGTCAAATCGCCAAAACAGTTTAAACACAAGAAAATGCAATGGTAAAAAAACACATACAGATGTAAAGGGTAGATCAGCAATGTCCATAAATGTTTAAACATGTCCATATGTTTTTTGAAGGTTCCCCACTGTGACGATTTAAGGTTCTTATCTTATCATGCTGCTAACAGACCTAAGAGCAGAAAAGTTAATCATTGAAATTATATCTCGCTTTGGCACCACAGGGATTTAAGTGAGTTCTGAGATCAAAATCATTCTTCAAACTGCTCAAAGGGTCAGATTCTTTTGGAATGATTCAATGTGATGCAAAACTCTCTAAAATTAGCACAGTTTCAATGCTAGTTTTAGTGTCGCTTATTGTCTGATACTTTTGACCCTAACAGTCAAAACCAGAGAGAGAGAGACCAGCGAGAAAGACCAGAGAGAGAGACCAGAGAGAGAGACCAGAGAGGGACCAGAGAGAGACCAGAGAGAGACCAGAGAGAGACCAGAGAGAGACCAGAGAGAGACCAGAGAGAGACCAGAGAGAGAGACCAGAGAGGACCAGAGAGAGACCAGAGAGAGACCAGAGAGAGACCAGAGAGAGACCAGAGAGAGACCAGAGAGAGACCAGAGAGAGAGACCAGAGAGAGAGACCAGAGAGAGACCAGAGAGAGACCAGAGAGAGACCAGAGAGAGACCAGAGAGAGACCAGAGAGAGAGACCAGAGAGGGACCAGAGAGAGACCAGACCAGAGAGAGACCAGAGAGAGACCAGAGAGAGACCAGAGAGAGACCAGAGAGAGACCAGAGAGAGACCAGAGAGAGAGACCAGAGAGAGACCAGAGAGAGACCCAGAGAGAGACCAGAGAGAGACCAGAGAGAGAGACCAGAGAGAGAGACCAGAGAGAGAGACCAGAGAGTGAATTATGTATGTCTCTTGTCATTTTGATGCCAGCGAGTTTTTGTAACATCTCATTTTGCACTGGTCTAGTCTAATTTTGTGCGTCCCTCTCCCCCCCCTCCCTCCCCCTCCCTCCCCCCTCCCCCCTCTCTCCCCCCCCTCCCTCCCTATGAGATGAACTCATTTGTTCTGAGCTGCCATTAATAATGTATCGTCTGCGTGAACGGAAGAGATCTCCACTTTCTGCTTGTAAGGCCCTTTTTTCCCCAGACTTTTTGCTCTGCTCTCCTGACACTTGTTCAGATTAAGTTTCACATTGTTGGTTGCTTCTGTCGTTTGGGTTTCTCTGATTTTTTTTTTTGGCCTCTGCAACCGTCACTTCCAATTCCTCTTTGTTTCCGCTGCCCTTGTATCTGGTGGCTTGTTTGAGTGGATCAGGAATACAGTGGCATCATGCTACAGTAGCTTCTCCGGTCATGAGAGTGAGATTATTTTCTTTTATGTCTACCCTGCTCACATCAGCCTTGCCTTATGAAACAGATGGAGCCCCTGGCAAACTGTGCCCTTGTTAGAATTCGCTATGAGCTTGGCAGGTTAGAGGCCGCACTGACTCACGCGCCGCCATTAGACCGTGCTCTGCTGTTGCCGCTGTTTGGTGATGTCTATTAGCGTTGTCAGGGATGACACAGACGCAAACTGATTTCACAGCTACTGTCGGAACAGGAGATTCAGCTGTAGGGACTGAAGGGACTGTAGGGACTGAAGGGACTGTAGGGACTGAAGGGACTGTAGGGACTGAAGGGACTGAAGGGACTGTAGGGACTGAAGGGACTGAAGGGACTGTAGGGACTGAAGGGACTGTAGGGACTGAAGGGACTGAAGGGACTGAAGGGACTGTAGAGACTGAAGGGACTGTAGGGACTGAAGGGACTGTAGGGACTGAAGGGACTGAAGGGACTGAAGGGACTGTAGGGACTGAAGGGACTGTAGGGACTGAACGGACTGTAGGGACTGAAGGGACTGAAGGGACTGTAGGGACTGAAGGGACTGTAGGGACTGAAGGGACTGTAGGGACTGAAGGGACTGAAGGGACTGTAGGGACTGAAGGGACTGTAGGGACTGAAGGGACTGTAGGGACTGAAGGGACTGTAGGGACTGAAGGGACTGAAGGGACTGAAGGGACTGTAGGGACTGAAGGGACTGTAGGGACTGAAGGGACTGTAGGGACTGAAGGGACTGAAGGGACTGTAGGGACTGAAGGGACTGTAGGGACTGTAGGGACTGAAGGGACTGAAGGGACTGAAGGGACTGTAGGGACTGAACGGACTGTAGGGACTGAACGGACTGTAGGGACTGAAGGGACTGAGGAGGGACTGTAGGGACTGAAGGGACTGTAGGGACTGAAGGGACTGTAGGGACTGAAGGGACTGAAGGGACTGTAGGGACTGAAGGGACTGTAGGGACTGAAGGGACTGTAGGGACTGAAGGGACGGCAGCGGGACTGAGGCGAGGTGTGTGCAGGTGGCTCATGCCTTTCCAGAAACAGACTTTTAAGTGTAGAGTTTGGTACCTAATAACTACGGTGCTGTTTACTCAGAGATGCTGCGAAAGTAAAATGTTAGAGATAAAGCTGCATTAACTCACTTTATTTTTGTAATCATTAGTTAAATGCAATCCATATCCATGCAGTGCTGTGGGATATGCGTCCTTTTGAAGAATAAGTAGCGCAGGTTTGTACTGGAGTAATTTTATTTGATTGAGTTTTTGTGCAAAGCGAAGAGAATTTGTTTCGCGTCCTGATTGTGACCAATCACAGCAGACCACTGGCCCCCACTTTCTTGAGAAAATCTACAGGTCTCATTAGCAAGGCCAGCGCTCACGTTTCAAACTGCTGCTTCGAAGTGAGTTAGTGCAGCTTAATATTGGTTTGGCTTTTTGTTTACATGAAGATAGCCTGGCCACAGCCATCCGTACTCTCCGCTCAATCATCATTTCACTGCATGTAGCTGAGTCTGGTCCCTGTGTTAGCGAATACAATTGGTCTTATTTCGACCGGCTACTCAGAGAGCGCGGAAGGCGGGTGTTGTAGGTCGGTGCTGAACGGGCAGGTTGTAGTTTGGCAAAGAATGCGATAGTAAAGTAATCCGGTCTGGTTCTATCAAGAAACTGAAGCCGGAGCAAGAGGAATGTTTAGCAAATGTAATCGCTGGTCAAGATTGTGGCGCTACTCCCCACGGGCTCCGTTAGCAGCAAAGGAGATGGCTAAAGCTAGGCTAAATGCTAAATGCTAATGACAGACTCGAGCGAATTACATACGTCACAGTAAACTCAGATCCAATCGTTTCAATCTGCAAAAGGAGTTAGCCCCTCCCACCTGTTAACGGAGTCAATGGAGCAAATCCAGACCTTAGTATGAAATGTAATTTGTACTATGGTGGGGTACGACCAGGCTAACATGGAGACGTGTTTGAGGTGAAAACGTTGAGAAACAGCCTCCAGAGTGGAACAGAACAGTTTCACAGCTGTGTGAAGAAAAAGGTGTGAATTCTCTGCTGCGATGACCTCAGCCCTTCTCCCGCATACATTTGGACGCAGTAGAACGTAAACAACAATGGCGGCAGGTCGATTAATGCTACGGTTGCTTTGCTAACGTTTTCTACTCCTTCGTCCAAACCAAACCACAGCTGTAGTTTCACTTCTCATTTCCGCTGCTGTTGAAAAATGATGTTGGTTCTTTCACATCTTTGTGGCGGCCTGAGGATGTTGTTGAGGAAGTGGTTCTACTTCTGGGGGTTGCGTGTGTTGTAAAGGTCCGCTGCCCCCTACTGGCCGGGGCAGTGCTAGAACGACATAGTTTTCCGTTGCCATATAAACGCTGACTTCAGATAAGGAGCATGGTCGTTTTTGCTAATAGCTTTGCAGCGTCTCTGTCTAACTGGGCCTAATGTTCTTGGTTTTCTCAATGGTAATCCAATTTACCAATTCTAGATAATGGTAACAATCACAATTATTAAATAAGTAAGTATTAGTATCTCAACCAAGTAGTAACCCGCAGACAATGGGGACAGTCAGTGAGATGAAGAGACATAGACCTGCCTCATAGAGCGTTTTACATCAGTAACAAGCCAGGCGCAGCTATGTATTCATGAGCCTAATGTGAGTAATTATTAATCAAGTCACCATAGAAGTTAGCGCTTGTGCTTCACAGCAAGAAGCCTGGGTTTGGTTCCACCTCCAGGCCGTTCTGTGTGGAGTTAATAGGTTCTCCTTCAAATGCAGAGGACAAAGAAGGTGGCACAGCATGGTCCAACTCACAGGTGCCTGTCTGGATGGAGTTTGCATGTTCTCCCCGTACCACTAAAATCCATGGGACTACAAACAAAAAACCAGTCTTGAGCTAATCCTGTTGTGTGTACAGTCGTAGCTTGCCATAAATACGCAATGTCCCTAAAAACAATCCCTATGGGGACAATAAAGTACGTTAACCTTAATCTTTTAAAGCTTATATTTTGAACTGAGATGAAGGGATTTACCACAATCTCTTTTGTTTGAGCTGCGGTATATTCAGAAATGGTACGTAAACAGTTTCAGTTCATTCAGAATGTAATTTAAACATACAGTTGTCCGTACCTTTAGCTCGTAGCAACAGGTGCCAGTGACTTCAGCCCGTTTAGCTGTAGCCAAACATGTTTAGCTTCTTTTCTCTACTACTACAACTCTCGAACATCCCCAAGCTCGGTCCTATAAATGTTACCCCTGCAGCTGGATTCTAGTGCGTAGGAAGAGACATGGCTCTGAAATGTGGATTTATGTACAGACCTACTCAACACCCACACATTCAGCCAGGAACATTTAGCACAGAACGGTTTGAATCAGTCGTCCCCAAAACACAGCTTTCACTACTGTCTTTCCATCTGGTCTGAAGAGAGACTTTACCAAACACTTATACATGCGTACATACATATACATACATATACATACATATACACATACATACACATACACATACATATACATACATATACATACATATACACATACATACACATACACATACATATACATACATATACATACATATACACATACATACACATACACATACATATACATACATATACATATACATACATATACATACATACACATATACATACATATACATACATATACACATACATATACACATACATACACACATACATATACACATACATATACATACATATACACATACACATACACATACATATATACATACATATACACATACATACACACATACATATACACATACATTCACACATACATATACATACATATACACATACATACACACATACATATACACATGTGGGCGGCACGGTGGCTGAGTGGATAGCACTCTCGCCTCTCAGCAAGAAGGTCCTGGGTTCGAATCCCGGTTGGACCAGGGCCTTTCTGAGTGGAGTTTGCATGTTCTCCCCGTGTCTGCGTAGGTTTCCTCCGGGTGCTCCGGTTTCCCCTACCACTAAAAATATGTACAATAGGTATGGCATGTGCCTCCTGTACTGGCACCCCCACCCAACAATTGTAAACCGCTTTGAGACTCTGATGTGCAGTGAAAAGGCGGTATATAAATAAAAGCTTACTTACTACTTACTACTTACACATGCATATACACATACATACACACATACATATACACATACATACACACATACATACACAGATACATACACATACATACACACATACATACACACATACATACACACATACATACACACATACATATACACATACATACACACATACATACACACATACATACACACATACATATACACATACATACACACATACATACACACATACATATACACATACATACACACATACATATACACATACATACACACATACATACACATATACATGTACAGTACACATACATATACATACATACATACACACATACATACACACATACATACACGAATACATACACACATACATACACACATGCATAAACACATACATATACACATACATATACATATACACATACATACACACATACATATACACATACATATACACATACATATACACATACATATACACATACATTTGCATACTGTACATGTACATATACACATACACATACATATACACATACATACACACATACATACACACATACATATACATACATATACACATACATATACACATACATATACACATACATACACACATACATACACACATACATACACACATACATATACACATACATATACACATACATACACACATACATACACGAATACATACACACATACATACACACATGCATAAACACATACATATACACATACATACACACATACATATACATACATATACACATACATACACACATACATATACACATACATATACACATACATACACACATACATATACACATACATACACATATACATGTACAGTACACATACATATACATACATACATATACACATACATACACACATACATACACGAATACATACACACATACATACACACATACATACACACATACATATACACATACATACACACATACATACACGAATACATACACACATACATACACACATGCATAAACACATACATATACACATACATACACACATACATATACATACATATACACATACATACACACATACATATACACATACATATACACATACATACACACATACATATACACATACATACACACGTACATACACACATACATATACATACATATACACATACATACACACATACATATACACATACATACACACATACATACACACATACATACACACATACATATACACATACATACACACATACATACACACATACATATACACATACATATACATACATACACACATACATACACACATACATATACACATACATATACGCATACATTTGCATACTGTACATGTACATATACACATACACACACACATACATATACACATACATACACACATACATATACACATACATATGCACATATACACATACATTTGCATACTGTACATATACATATACCTACACCTACCTAGATTCAAGAGACGCAGTTGCAAAGCCATGTTTCCGCCTGGAACTTGTCTCGTGCTCTTTCTGTCGACCTTCTCGCGCCCCACGTGCTCGTGTTCTGCTGAGTCAGCCGTCTGTGGACTATGGTAATGTGGGAGAGCCGCAGGGAGCCGCACATGGTAAGACCAGGCGTACATGTAGGAGATGATCATGGACCAGAGTTTACACATGGTTAGGGTTTAGTCTGCTTTACAACATGAATGGATCGCCTACGTTCAGGTTTTCATCTTATCTGACTGTTCGCAGCACAGCGTAGCTCACATCCTCTGTCCTCCGGCTGTAATATCAGAGATGTAATGTTCCATGAGTCCATAAATACAGCCAGGCGGGTCTCTGTGGCCTCGCATTACCCCCAGTCATCCTTCTTCTCTCGTCTGGATGAGCGGCTGGAAACAATGGCTCGCTCTGCTCCCAAGTGGAAGCAGGAAACAGGAAGTGGATTCAGCAGGAGTGTGTTTTTCCTCAAAGGTAGAGGATTATCTGTGTCTACGCTCACCTCAGATCATTCCAGCTCAAAAAGGTCAAGGGTCATCTCTCATGCATCCCCAAAAACATGGACGCTGCAGATTTGTGGTTGGAGTTTCCTGTGGCTTCTTGTTGACGCTTCTAAAAGGTTCAAAAAGGTTTTAAAAGGACGGAGGAAGCAGTTCTTGGAAAGTGACTCCCTCATTCTCTCTAACCCCGTTCTGTACTTGTTTCATTTGGACTACAGACGTAAACGAAAGAAGATTTATAAGTTCAAGAGAGATGAGAGCAGGAGTGGGCCAGGTGGAAAAGGCAGTGGAAACTTTAAATAAAAGATTAAGAGATTAAGAGATCCTTCATTCGTCCCACTGTGGGGAAATGTCAGTGTTGCATCACAGGTTATAGAACAGTAGGAAAGCGGAGGAGGTGGGGAGGAGGAGGGGAGGAGGAGGGGAGGAGGTGGGGAGGAGGAGGGGAGGAGGGGAGGAGGAGGAGGGGAGGAGGAGGGGAGGAGGTGAGGAGGAGGTGAGGAGGAGGGGAGGAGGTGAGGGGGAGAAGGGGAGGAGGAGGAGAGGAGGAGGAGGGGAGGAGGAGGAGGGGAGGAGGTGGGGAGGAGGAGGGGAGGAGGAGGGGAGGAGGTGAGGAGGAGGGGAGGAGGAGGGGAGGAGGTGGGGAGGAGAGGAGGAGGAGGGGAGGAGGTGAGGAGGAGGAGGGGAGGAGGAGGGGAGGAGGTGAGGAGGAGGGGAGGAGGTGGGGAGGAGGAGGGGAGGAGGTGAGGAGGAGGAGGGGAGGAGGAGGAGGGGAGGAGGTGGGGAGGAGAGGAGGAGGAGGGGAGGAGGTGGGGAGGAGGAGGGGAGGAGGTGAGGGGGAGGAGGGGAGGAGGTGGGGAGGAGAGGAGGAGGAGGGGAGGAGGTGGGGAGGGGAGGAGGGGAGGTGGGGAGGAGGAGGAGTGGAGGAGAAGGGGAGGGGAGGAGGAGGAGGTGGGGAGGAGGAGGGGAGGAGGTGGGGAGGAGGAGGAGGAGGAGGGGAGGAGGAGGAGGTGGGGAGGAGGAGGTGGGGAGGAGGGGGGAGGAGGAGGGGAGGAGGTGGGGAGGAGAGGAGGAGGAGGGGAGGAGGTGGGGAGGAGGGGAGGAGGAGGGGAGGAGGGGAGGTGGGGAGGGGAGGAGGGGAGGAGGTGGGGAGGAGGTGGGGAGGAGGAGGTGAGGAGGAGGGGAGGAGGAGGGGAGGAGGTGGTTGCAGCGCCTTGTTTAGTCCTGCCTCTGGGACCAGCATGAGGCCAGTCCCTGTTGGTTCATAGGCACTAACACAGATGTACTTAGGTCTGAGGCCATGGAAAGACTTGTACACATGGTATTAATACTTAATTAAGTACTGTAAATACATGTATTACTCTGTCTTGGAACGTACATTTACTGTATTTAATTAAGCAACAAAGGGGTAGGCGCTGATACATATTTTTCTACTTCTGCCTCCTCTTTTTGAACTCTAACTAGCACTAAAACCATTGTCTATTTCGATCTAATGTATGTTCCTTTTCCCTACATTTATCATTATTATTACAGTCTGAGTTCAAATAAACAATCTGAGCTGAGCTGAGCTGAATTGAGGCAGAAGTAGTTTTTCATTTGTTACTAATAAACATCCAATTTTAGCTTGAAAGTACAAAGTCTGCTGTGACCTGGTTTTGTTGTTGGTCCAATGGGTCCAATGGGTCCAATGGGTGGTCCATGTTTGACCTGAGAACACCAGAGCCGTCTGGGGCTGAGGACAACGAACCAACAACAGATGTTTGGACCGACACACACTTTCATTACAACACAACCTCCAACTTTCCTTCTGTCAGGCCAAGGTTTTTCATGCAACAAGATAGATCTATAGATACATAGATTTTATTGATCTCACATAGTCTGTTCAGGATATATTTAAAGAGACAGTGGCAATAGCAGCTTTTTTCAGTCCTAGTTGACCCACAGATGTGACAGAGGACAAAGAATGCTTAGATATGAAAACTGTTGTAAGAACCAAACTGCTTTGAGAGCCATACAAGTCCGGCTGGGTGATAAAAGGATATGTATCGCGATAGACACGTGTTCGATATCAATAGAAAACGAGGTAGATAGAATGTTCGGTAGTTGCACTTCACTCCGTTAGAAAAAACCGGAAGTAAAGCAGAGTCAGAAGCGCGCGGCATTCTGGGGGATGTAGGCAGAGGCTTCTCGACCTATCACGGCCGAGTATGAACCGCAAAACATTCTGGGAAATGCAAAAAAACCAACCGCACCATGTGTAGCGTCTATGGATCTATAGATCGTTTTTCAATGTCGTGTCAATGGTTCTGAACGTCCGTGCGAGGAACAGCATGTGCGGCGGCAAAGGCAGTGGACACAGAGACCCGATGCATTTGGCGAAAGCAAGAGATGAACTTTTTCCTCTGTGCGGCTATCAGAGAGCTATCAGAGAGCTATCAGAGAGCTATCCGAGAGCTATCCGAGAGCTATCCGAGAGCTATCAGAGAGCCGCACGGAGCCAGGGACACAAGACACTCAAAAACAGCCAGAACAGGAGCTAAACCAGGACTAAACCAGGACTAAACCAGGACTAAACCAGGACTAAACCAAGACTAAACCAAGACTAAACCAGGACTAAACCAGGACTAAACCAGGACTAAACCAAGACTAAACCAAGACTAAACCAAGACTAAACCAGGACTAAACCAGGACTAAACCAGGACTAAACCAGGACTAAACCAGGATTAAACCGGGACTAACAATGGGGGACACAGTGTGAAAATGTGCCTCGAGCCTCATTCCCTGTGACTATGAACAAGGCTGCTAAGGTGCGTTCGCCGACACGACAATCAATATGTATCGTTATCGACCGATATGAATGACTTGTGATATATAGATATTTTAATAATAATATAGTTTTCAGCCTTATCGTCCAGCCCTACATCCAAGGCTATCTAATCTTATCAGATAGATTTCTTTGTGGTTTCGCAGTTTGCTCTCCTCGGCTTTAACCTTGGACATTCCATATATATTCTCTTTCATCTTGTCATCTCTGTATATTTGCTCCGACAGCCACAGACTTTCTATGGCCCAGTCTCCCAGAAACAGGTGTTAAAGGTGGCACTCTCCTCTTGTAGATGGCATTGTAATCCAAAAATGCATAATAGATTCAGATGCATCCAAATCCCTGATGCTCGCGGACTCCGGTTACTTCCCGCTGCTCGGTTCTGCTCCGTCTGTAATCCAAGCTTCGCTGTGAGCACCTTAAGTACACAGGCATTAAATAAGCATGAAATTGTGCTTGGCTTCAAACATTCAGAGGTAGAAGAGAGTTCTGGGGCTTTGCTAACAGATTCTATTTTTGGACTGGTCTCATATGGACAAAACAACACAATGTGAACGGTAAATATTGTTTACCAGGATATAGCAGCGCTGGTAAACAATGTGTCTGTGATATGAACGGGTGGATCAGGATATGGCAGCTCTGGTAAACAATGTGTCTGTGATATGAACGGGTGGATCAGAATATGGCAGCGCTGGTAAACAATGTGTCTGTGATATGAACGGGTGGATCAGGATATGGCAGCTCTGGTAAACACTGTGTCTGTGATATGAACGGGTGGATCAGGATATGGCAGCTCTGGTAAACAATGTGTCTGTGATATGAACGGGTGGATCAGGATATGGCAGCTCTGGTAAACAATGTGTCTGTGATATGAACGGGTGGATCAGAATATGGCAGCGCTGGTAAACAATGTGTCTGTGATATGAACGGGTGGATCAGGATATGGCAGCTCTGGTAAACAATGTGTCTGTGATATGAACGGGTGGATCAGGATATGGCAGCTCTGGTAAACAATGTGTCTGTGATATGAACGGGTGGATCAGGATATGGCAGCTCTGGTAAACAATGTGTCTGTGATATGAACGGGTGGATCAGGATATGGCAGCGCTGGTAAACAATGTGTCTGTGATATGAACGGGTGGATCAGAATATGGCAGCTCTGGTAAACAATGTGTCTGTGATATGAACGGGTGGATCAGAATATGGCAGCGCTGGTAAACAATGTGTCTGTGATATGAACGGGTGGATCAGGATATGGCAGCTCTGGTAAACAATGTGTCTGTGATATGAACGGGTGGATCAGGATATGGCAGCGCTGGTAAACAGTGTGTCTGTGATATGAACGGGTGGATCAGGATATGGCAGCTCTGGTAAACAATGTGTCTGTGATATGAACGGGTGGATCAGGATATGGCAGCTCTGGTAAACAATGTGTCTGTGATATGAACGGGTGGATCAGGATATGGCAGCTCTGGTAAACAATGTGTCTGTGATATGAACGGGTGGATCAGGATATGGCAGCTCTGGTAAACAATGTGTCTGTGATATGAACGGGTGGATCAGAATATGGCAGCGCTGGTAAACAATGTGTCTGTGATATGAACGGGTGGATCAGAATATGGCAGCTCTGGTAAACAATGTGTCTGTGATATGAACGGGTGGATCAGAATATGGCAGCGCTGGTAAACAATGTGTCTGTGATATGAACGGGTGGATCAGAATATGGCAGCTCTGGTAAACAATGTGTCTGTGATATGAACGGGTGGATCAGAATATGGCAGCGCTGGTAAACAATGTGTCTGTGATATGAACGGGTGGATCAGAATATGGCAGCTCTGGTAAACAATGTGTCTGTGATATGAACGGGTGGATCAGAATATGGCAGCTCTGGTAAACAATGTGTCTGTGCAAGACCTAAAGAGGAAGCATTTATTTTCTATTCAAAAGCCACAGAAAGAAAAACGGGAAGGCTTTTGTGGTAGCACTTAACGTTGAAATTGTATGGAAATAATATTGTGATTTCCGTGTAATATCCAGGTAATAAACCGGCAGGAAATAATATGGTAATACCCGTGAAATGACAAGAAGGAAATGATATGATTATCTGATATGTTCTGTAATGATGGCTTTACGTGTTGTGCATTTGTTTTCATATCTCTGTGAAATAAGACACTTTTCCAGGAACAATCTTGGAGCATCCACATCAGTCAGAGTCAGAGTCAGAGTCAGAGTCAGAGTCAGAGACAGAGACAGAGACAGAGACAGAGACAGAGACAGAGTCAGAGTCAGAGTCAGAGTCAGAGTCAGAGTCAGAGTCAGAGACAGAGACAGAGACAGAGACAGAGTCAGAGTCAGAGTCAGAGTCAGAGTCAGAGACAGAGTCAGAGTCAGAGTCAGAGTCAGAGTCAGAGACAGAGTCAGAGTCAGAGTCAGAGTCAGAGTCAGAGACAGAGACAGAGACAGAGACAGAGTCAGAGTCATGTGGTCAGAGACAGAGTCAGAGTCATGTGGTCAGAGACAGAGTCAGAGACAGAGACAGAGTCAGAGACAGAGACAGAGACAGAGTCATGTGGTCAGAGACAGAGACAGAGACAGAGTCAGAGTCAGAGTCAGAGACAGAGTCATGTGGTCAGAGACAGAGACAGAGACAGAGTCAGAGTCATGTGGTCAGAGACAGAGTCAGAGACAGAGACAGAGTCAGAGACAGAGACAGAGACAGAGTCAGAGTCATGTGGTCAGAGTCAGAGTCATGTGGTCAGAGACAGAGTCAGAGACAGAGACAGAGTCAGAGACAGAGACAGAGACAGAGTCATGTGGTCAGAGACAGAGACAGAGACAGAGTCAGAGTCAGAGTCAGAGACAGAGTCATGTGGTCAGAGACAGAGACAGAGACAGAGTCAGAGTCATGTGGTCAGAGACAGAGTCAGAGTCAGAGACAGAGTCAGAGTCAGAGTCAGAGTCAGAGACAGAGACAGAGACAGAGTCAGAGTCAGAGTCAGAGACAGAGTCAGAGTCAGAGTCAGAGACAGAGTCAGAGTCAGAGTCAGAGACAGAGACAGAGACAGAGACAGAGTCAGAGTCATGTGGTCAGAGACAGAGTCAGAGTCATGTGGTCAGAGACAGAGTCAGAGACAGAGACAGAGTCAGAGACAGAGACAGAGACAGAGTCATGTGGTCAGAGACAGAGACAGAGACAGAGTCAGAGTCAGAGTCAGAGACAGAGTCATGTGGTCAGAGACAGAGACAGAGACAGAGTCAGAGTCATGTGGTCAGAGACAGAGTCAGAGACAGAGACAGAGTCAGAGACAGAGACAGAGACAGAGTCAGAGTCATGTGGTCAGAGTCAGAGTCATGTGGTCAGAGACAGAGTCAGAGACAGAGACAGAGTCAGAGACAGAGACAGAGACAGAGTCATGTGG